CAACAAGGCTGCGCTAGAGGGAGAGTAACTGGGGATGCGAGGGCGGTGATGGCGACACATTCTTCCCTGTCAAGACACTGCCATGGCAGGAAAGAAACTTGACATCTTGCAAAACGGTCTTCTCCGCGTAGTCCGGCTATGTGGTCTTGGGCACCTGGCTGTGCAACCTCTCGGAGATTCAGTTGCCTCACCTGTGAATGGAGACTATGAGTACCAAATGTACGGCGGCACCTGATAATGAAGAATGCTAAGTGCCTGGCGCAATGCTTCCATAGTACATGATCCCTATTCAAACAATGGTTGTAATATGTAGTCACAGTGTGTCTGTCATCCGAATCAGTGTCCTCATGCAGCAAATAATCAACTGACTAAACAAGCAGACAATTCAGACAATCCATGATTCAGACTTACGGCGATCCTATATCTATTAGGGTGGAACTCGGCTCCACAGGGTTTCCAGTGACTGCTTTTGGAATGTTCCCGTCTTTCTTCTCAGGTACCTCTGGGTGGACTCAAATTTCCAACCTTTTGTTTAGCAGTCAAGCGGTTACACCTCTTACACCCTGCCATCTCATCAATTCCATCTCATAGCGACCCTGTATACGGTTCTTAGACTTTTTCCCCCCTCAGCCTCCTTTTTCTCCTGCAGAGCACAAAGGTGGGTTTGAACCCCCAAACTTGAGGTTAGCAGTACAACGCCTCAGGAACCAAACAATAACAGCCATATCTATCAGGCTAAAAGATCTTTGACTTTACCTAATACAAACCAAACCAAAACAAACTCCCTGCCATTGAGTCTATGCCGACTCATGGTGTCCCTATAGGACAGCAGAGAACTGCCCTGTGAGTTTCTGAGACTGTAACTGTTTACGGGAGTAGAAGGCCTGAACTGTGTCCCGAGTAGCAGCTGCTGGTTTCAAACTGCTGACCTTTAGGATCATAACCCAGTGCGTCACTACTATGTTACCAAGGTTTCTACGACTTTGCCTCATAGACAGCAAAAAACATGGGGATCAACACAAACGTATAACTTTCTTGATAGATACTAGAGCTGGTAAAAAGAATGGATTGGAGGGGCTGTCTGGAAGTGGGGAGACTTGTTTGGCAGGTCGGTGAGACAGTGGAGACATAATGGGGACCTTGCAGGGGCTCAGAGGAAATCAGCTGAAGGATATTAAACGTTAAGAGAAGTGAGTTGAGGGGAGGAATCAAGGTTGACTATCAGTTTTCACATTCTTTCACCTAGGTGGGTCAGGAACCAGATTTTGCCCCATGTCCACTCAGTTATCTATGTGTTTCTTTTGCCTTCCTGGTCATTCGATGGCTGATTTACTTCGGGAAGGAAAAAGGGGCCAAGGGCAAAAGTGAGGTCCCAGCTGGTGGACCATTTTGTTAGGAAATAGTTTTCCTGGAAGCCCCACCAGTAGATAGGAGGGTGGCATTTGGCCATCCACTCCTGCCTGCCCCACCCCAACTCCCCAGCTGCAGAGGAGCCTAGGAAATCAATGTTTTTTGCTTCCTGTTGTTGATCAGGTCCACACATCATCACTGGGGGTGGGGGTGGGGAGGGGGAAGATCAGAGTTCTTTTAACAAGAGAAAGTGTTGAATATTGAAGTAGCGATGAGCAGCTGGCAGCAATTGGAACATTCTTCCTTTCCTGAATCCCTCCTTTCCTCTGCCTTTGCAAAGCAATACCAGAGTCATCAGAGTTTAACTTCCTACATCCCTTGGCCTTTCTACCCTGCTTTTCCTCGTTTCCATGGCCACTTATTTGTTGGCTATTTTGTTGACTCTATTTTTAACTACCCCCTTAGATATTGATCGTGTTATCTTCCTTTTTGACTCTCTTTTCTCTCTCATCCCCTCTTCCCTCTCTTTTCATCCTACAGTACTTTCAACTATATGGGCTGCAGATTCCTAAACATATCTCTCTAGCCCTATCCTTTTCTCTTAGCTCCAGAGTTATAGTATCTAATTATCTACTTGATAACTCAACTGGATGGCATACAGATACTTCAAACTCAACATGATCCACCCTGAACTCATCTTATAGCCTCCAAACCTGCTCTTCTTCAATTGCCCCTGTTATCCTCCCTTATTCCCAGTGGAAGAACTTGGGAATTGTCTTCTCCTTCCTCTCCTTACGCACTTACACTTAAAACATTACCCAAGTCATTGTGGTGTCACTTCCTACAACCCTTGAACATCCTCTCTTGTCCTTGTCACCTTAAGCAAATCATTTCACTTCCCCTGAGTTTAATTTCCCATGAAACAAGGCCAGGGGAGCCCTAGTGAGTGAGGCATAGTGAGTGACCAATGGGCTGCTAACCACGGGTCCACAGTTCAAAATCACCAGCTGCTCCTGGGGCAAAAGATGAGGCTTTCTACTCCAGTGAAAATGTCCAGCCTCAGAAACCCTCAGGGGCTGTTCTACTATATAGGGTCACTATGAGTTAGACATGATTAGATGGCAGTGAGGGTTTTTCATTTTTTGTGAAATAACGGTGTAGCTATAGAGTTCAAAACTCAAACTCCAAGCCATCAAGACAATTCCAACTCGTTGAAGCAACCATATTGGGCAGAGTAGAATGGCCCCAATTGGGTTTCTCCCATGGAGCAGCTGGTGGCTTTGAACAATTGACCTTACAGTTAGCAGCCCAAAGTGTGACCCACTATGCCACCAGGGGCCCTTGGATGTGGAGTCAGCTGAAGTCCTATTCAGGTCTACCAGTCCGTGTTTTTCTGCAGTGCCATCTGCTGGGAGGAGCTGGGGTCAGTGGTGGTGCAGGTGTGCTGACGATGGTACTGGACATCAAGTTGGGCCCTAAAGAAGCAGGATTGCTAAGCAGAGACGTTTTATATAAACATCTAATTCCATTCTGACTTTTAAGCCATGTAGCTCATCCACTTATGAATTAGATAAGACATGTGCATAAAACCAGAGGGAACTTCAATTATTGTTTAATTATAAGCCTCATTCTCCGAGCAGTTCCTTCATGGAGGTAATTTCTGATGGCCTCCCCACAGCAGATGTACTAGCCCAAGGCAGCAGCAGCATGGGTGGGGAGGGCTACATCAGTCAGGTCCACAATACCCAGAGAGAGAGAAGGCATTCCTAATATTTAATAGCTTGTTTGTACAGGCTGATCACACCAGCATTTGAAAACCTTCTGCACTGACGGCAATGCTGGAAGCCTATAGAGTGCTGTACAAAAGCTTTTCATAAGAAAAGAAAAGAGATTTAGGTTGGAATAAGCCTTGGGCATGTGGATGTTTTGAGAAGGAAACGCAGAACTTTCAGAAATTACAGAAATCACGGGAAGTTAGAATTTGAAGGTACCTTATAGAAGATCTGCACTAGCCCCCTGGTTGTGCAGATGGACTCCAGAAACATTTCTTCCTTCACTCACTATTACCAGGATGCTTCGTCTGTCGTTGGCACTGGGTGAGGAGCTAGGGTGCAGGTCATATAAACTTGCTGCCCGCTGCACTGCCATCAAGTCAATACTGACTCAGAGTGGCCCCATAGACTAG